TGGGTAGATGCCTGCTTGTATCTTTCTGGCGCTAAATTCCTGTCGACAGACATGCCATCCTCACTTCCCAGTAATTACTGTCAACACTAGTCACTAGTCACTAGGCAGCCCGAACCCTGCATCTCACTTCAACCGCTCAGCTTCCAATCCAAGATTGCTGCAACCCAACCCACGGCAAGCTTCCAAAATCAAAGCCGCCACCTGCGACGTTAGAAGTCCTAAATTTAGGCCTGTTTTCTTCCAGGCTGTTGCTTGCTTACTTCACGAGTTAAGGCCTACACCTTACCTTATAGACTCCGTGGATGTGCTTGTTGGCCCGATGTCTTGGCTTCCACATAGACTGCACCACAAGGCGTTGAGGATCCTGAGGCTTATGCACATCACTGCACAGTTCTTGTCCCGTGACGTGCCAAACCTTCCTGCTGAGTAGGCTTGGCTGACTAGATGTGCCGAAGCGCTGAATCATACCGCCTGCAACTGGACAGAAGGTTCTAGACCGCAGTCCCATGATGATTACACCAACCCCGACATCCTGCATTCAGCATATCGGTGTGCCATACACACATATATGTGGGTATGTGCGACTATTCGCATATATGAACACAGTGACACACACACACACACACATCCCACTATGCTCACATCGTAGGCCACGTGGCTGCAGAATACATAGAAACCAATGCCGACGAAGGAGGAAAGCGGTGCCATCCAGCCAGTCCAGGTGCTGTTGTACAACCTCATCGAGGCTGCAGGGCTTACCGCTTAGGGTACCGGCTTCCGCCACAGCTTACAAGCTGGAAGAACCCTTTGACGGCCAAGCTGCTTGCCGAAAAAAGTCGCATTGGGCCATTTTGTGCACTTTTGGACCATCTACGGTTTGGAAAGATGTCCCGTTCATTCCTGTTGCCAAATCGCTGGACGCATCGATCTGCTCCATGGCTAAATGATGAGAGATTGCACGACTGTTTGTAGCGGCCTTAATACAAGTAGAAAAGTAGTGCATATGATGTTGTATTGTTGGATTATTCAGGTGATATTCAATCTAGTTTTATGACCTCAAGACTGAGTCAAACAACGTGGCGTATGGGAACCACTGGTCCCAAACGCCTGTTTCCTACGCCTTGCTCTGCCCTTTGTCTGGGGAGGGGCTGCAATGCACATGCCCTCATGCCCCTTTTGTATCAGGACTTGTGCAACCGCCTGAATTTCTGAGCCTACAGAAGTTCAGCTCTCATGACTGCGCTTCCAGACTTTGCTCAGGTGCCCTCATGCCCCTAAACCCCGTAAGCCCTTTTGACCCTATAAACCCGGCAAGCGTTGAACCCTAACCGAATCTTTGCTTTGATTCTGGCTCAGGGGAGGTCAAACTCCAAGTCCCCGACCCCAGGGTCTCAGGACAGGGCTTCAGGGGTTTAGGGGGGTGTTCCTTAATAAAAGGGTTCTATAAGGGCTACTATAAGGGTTTTGGGTGTAGTTAGGAAGGTGACGCTAAGAGTCGGACTTGCGAAAATTCGGCTGCACTTACCTTGCAGAGCCTGAGAACCAACAACAGCGAGACCCACGGACTACTGTGGTCCGGAATCCTACATCTTCGGATCCCAGTGTTCCCCTAAAGTTTGGATCTGATTGGAGCTCTGTCCTCTTCGAAGCCAGCCTGAGAAGCTGAAGCTGACACTTGTAGAGAAATAAGACATAATGTAGGGGGCTTCATAATCATAATATAGTTTTGGGGTATGTTATACTATACTTATAAGAATGAGTCCTTCTTCAGCATGGGCTTGGATTGACCCTATAAGCCCTAAACCCTTTTTTGCCTAAACCCCAAACCCTAAACCCTGAACCCTAAACCCTAAACCCTTCTTACATAAACCCACAAGAACCCGAAGCTGATGGCCTGGTAGCCAAGGTGCTTGCGGTAAAGAAACGACATGCCGATGGTATGGCCCACAAGTTCCATCAGCTGCCTGGCAAGAACTCCGAGACAGTTCGCTTCAGGGCTTCGAAGGCAAATCTTGGGACTAAGGCTTTTTTTTTTTTTTAGGGTTTTAGGGTTTTTTGACACTCACACTCGGACAAGCCTTGCAAGGTCTGTAGCGATACTGGTCCATCACGTTTTAGGGTTTAGGGTTTAGGATTTTAGGGTTTCGACTCTCACACGCGCACAAGGCAGGTAATGCTGAAGCGCTTTAGGCTTCGGGTCTATCGAGCCAGGGGAGAGGGTCGAGGTACTCGTATCACATGCAAGACCAAACTGTTCTGCATAGGCATGCATATACAGATATATACAGATTGTACTGTACATGTATGTATGTTTATACAAAAAATATGTACACACAGGTACACGCATGTAGAAACATATCTTTACCTGTGTGTGTATGCCACCAGGGTACAAAGGTGTGTGCCTGCGTGCCACTTGCAGATGAAAACGTCCGATTGAGATCTTCCCTAACGCAACAAAACTAGAAAGGAGCCTAAACAAGCCGAGGATCATAAATGAGAAAAGCCGACCCTGCTGATCCTTCTCCACGTGCACCTGGGCTGGGGCGAGTTCTGTGCGACCTCGTCGAAACGGTGTGTGGTTTAGATAGCCTTGGAAGCAAGGATAGTTCCAGGTCAGACTACGTGCAGGTTTTGATTGCTCAGTGGGCAATGCTCGCAGCAGAAATATACACAGATTTTCGGGTGGCTGGACAGCACCCACGCAGCAAGCTTGTCCACGCAAGTGCATCTGCCGCAACTAGCGGCATGCGTCAAGGGATGCCAGGAGCATTGAGTATCGTGAGCTGGTGCCGTGTACATCATTGCGCCGCAAATGAAAAAAAGAATCCCTACAGTTAAGACAAGGCCTGCGCTTGCCCGTCGAGCAGTTCGTCAAGCTGCTGCAAGATGCAACCCGTTCTTGTTTCTTTGTCGCGGCTCATCTGCCCAGGACAAAGCTCACGGCACTTCTGCTGTAACATGGCCAACTACGGTTCTCCAGGGAAGTGGGTGAACAACCTGTGCTTTGAATCTCGATTCTTGGGTAAACTGCCCGCGTAACTCCTGAACAGCCTTGTCTGAACCTGCAAAAGCCTTTGAAATGAATCCGAACAGTCTGGATTCTAGATGCGTCTTTACTCCGGCAATATCCGGCAAGCTTCAGCATAAACGTGCTAGCAAAGGCACGCTGGCAAGCGTGTCCATCCTTGGCTATCTGAAGGCACCTACCGGAAATTAGCCTGGAGTGGGGCCTCTAGCAGGGCTGCCGACGCACGGAAGTGCCCTCGGAGTGGAGTCGTTTAGATGAGGTTCCACCAGGCCAAAGTAAGTCTTGCAACTAATGCGGCACAGTGGCAAAGGTGTGCGAATGCCGAGGCTTATACCAAGAAGCACTTTGCCAGTCCAGAATACGACACTGGGAAGTAGCGACATCTCGTTCTCTGCGATGAGTACGGCGACTCCTGGAATACAACATAGTACGGGTGCATCTAGAGACCACAGCAGGCAAATGCGCAAGAAGTAGCATTTACTACTGGTATCCAGATAACAACCCGCATGAAACCCTAATATCCAAGCTACTTCATACCTGAGTCCAATCGAGGGAGACATCCTTCATCCATAATCTCTTGTGCAACAACCAAGCATGAGCCTTGCAAGCTGCACCGGGCTCCGAAACCAACTAAACCCCCCAGTGGAGAGACGATCGCATGGAGGCTCTCACACCCAAACCCCTAAATCCCTAAACCCCTAAAGCCCTAAGCCCGGCCCTAAACCCTAAAACCCTAAACCCCTAAACCCTAAACCCCTAAACCCTTTTTGCATCAGGACTTGTGCAACCCCTAAACCCTAAACCCCTAAACCCTTTGGAAGCTGCTGCCCACCAGGCCTTCGACAGCTGATCCGACGATGCCCATAGAAAGCGCCAGGAAAAGGGTGGTCCAAGGTCCCAGCCGCGGCAAGAGGAAGGTACTAATGCGGCTGCCTGAGGAAGGTTTCGACTCACACACTCGCACGATGCTGGCATGGCAAGAGAAGGTCCCGAGCTTGCTACATGTACATATCTGCATATCGTTCGACAGGCTAACCCGAAGTGCCCAGTGAACGAGCAGACCAACCATTAAAAACAGTAAAACCAATAGTCAGTAGCAAAACCGAAGGACACTTGAGGCACCGGGTCGAGTCCTACTAGCCTAACGGCAGCTCGCAGTCCTTGGTCTATTGCGACCAGGGCCATCCGCTGTGTACTGCAGCGCTTTGCCTCCTACTTTGCTACTTTAGGGTTTAGGGTTGAGGATTTAGGGTTTTTCCATGATTGGTACTTGGTTTCGGGTTTGTTAGAAACAGGATCCCACTATGCAGCTCGGTTTGTCTGAAAACAGTTGTGGAACTCCCGGCCAAGCGGGCCGCGCCAGCGAATCTGTCAAATGCTGTGTCTACTCAGCAATAGCGTTGCCTGTGCAATTTGCCTACTTATTCTACTGGCTAGAGTGAAGAGACACCTTGGAAGCATAAACCAACGCCAAAAGCAGATATGAATGCACACGCGTGTATGCATACACATAGACACATATACATACACCTGAGCACTACATATCGTTTAGCCCATGCTGGCAGAGACTATTGCGCAGTCTTGACACAGCAAGCGGCTTACTAGATATATCCTCAAATTGTTCGATGCCAGGCATTCTGTATGCTGGTTGATAGCAGGTGGTGCAAGGCATCACTGCTTGACGTTTGACTTCCTTTCCTTGATTGTCATTTACCGTTTAGAGTGCAGATGCTGTCATGCATGCGGCATGAAATCACAAGTGAACATATAAAGCTAGGACACGAATGAGCATATACAGACTGCACATGTGTTCCTCTGGCACGTCACTCAGGGCGGCCTGTCAACGAACATATCAAGCATGCGATAGTTTCGTTTCGCATCCGTGTCCTTCAGCTCTAGATTTCCCCTCCATACCATGCCTGCAGCCTGCTGCCGATGCTAAAAGCCCGACGGACCTTCTGGCATAGCTGATTCAACGCTTGGGTCGGGCAAGAGGACAAAACCTATGATGGAAAACTCGGCCTACAACGGCCATGATGGTGGAGACGAAGCCGACCATGGAAGCTGCGGCTTGCGAGTAGTCCAGATAGGTGATCCTGCATGTGCGGGGCATCTGGCACTCTGTCCTGGACGAGGTGATATCTAGAAGAATACATGTCGGCATGAGGTGCGTAAAAGCATGTGTATGTGTGTACAGACATGTGTATGTTTGCATATGTATATACGCATGTGCATGTATGTATGTGTATATATATATATATATATATATGCACCTCCTTATGATTCTTACATACATGATATAAGTACACTTCAGAGTCATTTGCTGCCCCTAACTGTTTCGTGGTGTTTTTATCTGTGCACATATGAGAAGCGAGAGAGCGCAAGAGAGAGAGGGAGAGAGAGCGAGAGAAAGAAAGAAAAAGGGGTAGCCGAGCAGGCAGACCGACGCACGAGCAGAGTGGTACAGATAGACCCAATGATACATGTTTGACAAGAAGAGGCCCTACACACACATCACAATGCATGCGATTATACATGCCGTCAACAAAATTGACAAACGCCTCGGTTTTGCATTTACCATCTACCAGTTCCCAACGAAAACTGTGATCAACATGTGTCGACCGGAGATCTGGAACTGGAGCAACTAAAGTCCGTCGACTGCATCAGCAAAATCTGGCAGTACGGTTGTTGTGTCACCCAAACCAACTCGGCCACGGGGCAGCATGTATCGCGCAAGGTGTTCCATCGACCACACGGCTTTCAGAACGAAGTTGAGAATGAGAAGTTGCCTGAGGTCGGACCAGCAATGCTTACACTGCTATCTTCGAAAACTCGCCCGAGGAATCTAGCATACCTTCTTAGTGGACATTGCCGAACATGTGGGATGGACAAGCACTGGAATGCCCGAGGCCATGCTGGAGCTCAGCCTACGAAAATCTTCGCAACCTGCACTTAGCGGACGAAGCTGCATGAGCACAGGATCATGTCGAACGTCGCAAAGAAAGCGCCATAAATCGCGAAGGGCACCGCGGCCTGCCTGAACCTGTCTGGTACTAAAGTATACTTCTTCTTCTCCGGGGTCACGGACCTCGCGCCGCAAGGTGCGCCCCTGGTTTTAGGGCCTTGTGGGGGAGTTTTTGCCGGTAAAAGATATGGTTTGAAGTATCCCGGCGTAGCGTTAGGTTTTGCAGCTCCCAAGGGACGGCAAAAGTATATCGGCAGCCGCCTTCATTCTCAATTCTTGCGAACCTTCACACAGATACTCTGAACGATAATTTCCACAACGGTGAGAGTCATTTCTGTTTGAATACCCGAAGCTCAATATAGGCCCGAGCATGAACTCCCAAGATAGCCTTCGCTGTAGTCTCAGATCAAAGCCAGTCATTACATATGGGTGACCGTGAGAACTGGCTGACTTCAACTCTTAAACAACAATATCCCGAAATAAACCCTGCCATTAGACCTTACATTGGCCCCAATGGTGACAGTAGTCTTCTAGTTCATGTTCACCTTAAAAAGGGTGCCTTATAGATTTGTATCTCAGTTCGTATGGATTAAGATGTTAT